TTTAATATAGGGCATCAATATTTATGTTTAATAAAACGGTGTGCTTAGTGTCAGTTTTTTAACGTTCTCGATAGCGTAAAAGTTAATTGAAATTTCTATGGAGTTGGAACGTTTGCCTATGGCTCCGGTTTGAGCCCCGTGAGCTCACCTACACAAGCTAGGGTAAGCTGAAATAGCCTCTCAAGGCTATCAGCATAGGTACGAGGAAAAAAAAAATTGCCTACGTTTGCCGCTAGGGGCGCTGTTCCAACTGCATACAATATTGGGTTAACTTTTACGCTATCGAGAAGGTTAAAAAACTGATGGATGAAGGGAATAAAAATGCACTTGCGTATATAAATATGTTTATCTGTGATGCCGGGGGGTACTTAGACAAAGAAAATGATACTGCCGTATATAAAATGCGGCAGTTTCATGATCGAATTACGCAAACGGACTCCACAATATTTAGAACGATATTAACGGCTCTTAGCTATTATATATAATATACCTAAGCATAGGATATTAAATGAGCTGTTTTCGTTGTGAAGTTTTGAAAAATGCAGTCGACCGCCAATTATTTTCGTATCGTTAGGATCTGTTTCAAGGTCCTCATACCTATTCGTCGTTATAAAATCTATACATATAAATTAAATTGGAGTGTCTGTTTGTAATATTGAAATAGCCTCTTTTTATTATATGCATATAAATATATATACGGAACATACACCAAAATAACATTTTTTACAATTTTTGTCTGTCTGTTTGTTCCGGCTAATCTCTGGAACGCCTGGACCGATTTTGATGAGACTTTCTCTTATAGGTAGCTGATGATATAAAGAGTAACTTAGGCTCCTTTTTTAGGCTAGCTTCGCCCTGCGGCTTCACCCGCGGTTAGACAATAACCGCGGGTAACATCGCGGGACTCAGCTATCAATAATAAAATTTAATGTTTCCAAAGCGAAGCGAGGGCGGGTCGCTAGTACATAATAAATATGTATTATTCCGAATAAGTTCGTCTGCTTTTTGCGCGTCTCACAGTATAGGTACAACCCTATGACATCATCCAGGAACTGCAAAGTTTCGTTTTTCATTTTAATTATTCTTTTATTCTTTGTTCTTGCATATTGTGTGTTTGTTGTAGACTAGTGTCTTAAGGGGTTCCGTAGTTTGCATAAAATTGATCTAGTTATACACTTATAACGTCCGTCACGTATACAGATGAAATTTTGTAGGAATATATCTCGTTTTTATCATCGCACCGCCCGCCACCGGAGTAAAGTTCATCCATACTACCTGGAGCCACTGCGGTCATCCACAGTGCGTTTCCAGAGGTCTTTTTTGCCACGTACCATCCGGCTATGGAATGAGCTTCCCTCCACGGTGTTTCCCGAGCGCTATGACATGACCTTCTTCAAACGAGGCTTGTGGAGAGTATTAAGCGGTAGGCGGCGGCTTGGCTCCGCCCCAGGCATTGCTGAAATCCATGGGCGACGCTAACCACCCACCATCAGGTGGGCCATGTGCTCGTCTGCCTACAAAGGCAATAAAAAAAAAAAGAATAATATTTGGCGCTGAATACGGTGGGGTGAAATTACGAGAACAATGATTAGAGGTCGAAGGTGGAAGAATAAGTACGTGTGAATACTTTAGCTGTTTGAGCGTGATCCGTCGATAAATCGTTTCGTCGTATATAAAAAAAAAAAAAAAATTCCAGCCATGGATAGTCCTATGTCAATATATAGACTAATGCCTATACTTATTGACCTATCCATACTTTCACTTTTAATGCGTCGTCCGCTAACATATTATTGTCCCAAACGTTCCTTTCGTTTTCAAATGCTTCGAGTTCTCGTTTTTTATTAGTCCCGTCTATTGTTTGTAGATTTCTCATAGCGTTTCAAGGGCATCTGCGTTTGCTTCCTTCCACGTCTGCCCGCTATTGATTTATTCGTCGAGTTTTTTTTTTTTTTGACTCATTTCAAAATTATTTGAAGGTCTTTAATATCTCGAACTTTCGATGCTAAATTAGAACATTGAACGGAATCAGATTTTAATTAGGCCACGTATGATTTGTCTTAGTGAATATCATCCCTGAATTGGTAATGACGTTTCAAATTGTCTATATAAAAATGATGAAATTGTAGAAAGATTGATGGTAGTGTTAGCACAATATTCAGATGTCGTCCCATAGACAGCCCACTGAGTTTACCTTAGCCTAATCTTCTCAGTGAGAAGCACTGCTCTTGCTAGGGCTAGTGTTAGCAAATTCTCTCAGGTTGAGCCCGTGAGCTCACCTACCCGTCCGTGCGTAACTGGAATAGCCTCTTAGGCTACCAACAAATAAGTAGGAAAAAATATATATTGTATGTCGATCAATAACACTTTAGTTCGTTACCTACTACGAAATCTGACAATCATTCCGAACATCGAAAATAATGAAATGAAAATATATAAATGTACTAGAGGACCTGACAGATGCCCTACATACATAACGTGACCATTTATATTTTTACTCAAAACGGGGCGTTGGTTTATTTGGGACTTACTTTTCTTTCTTTATTTTTTCCTACCTTTGCTGATAGCCTTAAGAGGCTATTTCAGCTTCACCCTAACGTATGTGTGTAGGTGAGCTCACGGGGCTCAAACCGGAAGTGTTGCTAACACTGGCCCTGGCAAGAGCAGTGCTTCGCAGAGTCTACTACCGGAAAGCTATCTGGGACAATTGACAGGTACATGATGAAAAAAAACAGTACTTTTTTAAAGTTATTATACCTACGGAAAAGTTAGCTTGAAAATTACGAATTAAAGAACATATCGTAGGTATTCTCGCATTAAAACTGTATAATCTCAAAATTTCTAACTTTACAGAAAAGTGTTTTAAAGGTTTTAATATGTAATATTTTTAATTTTAACCATCTTTGCAACATTTATTTTTTATCTTTTACCAGTTACATTATCTGTCTCTTAAAGTAAGATAAAATTATGTAGGTATTAATTTTGTTAATAGTAGTCAAAATTTCGGTAAATTAAAACTAAACTACGCTCTTTTGACAGTTTTTATGAGAAAAATACTGCTGATACTAAATTATCCGCATATTAACTCAATTTCGCATATTTTTGGAAATTGTACACTTTTAATGCGAAAAGACGATATATCTATACTCAAGATGTTTAGTTATATTTATAATATTTATTAGAGGTACAATTTGCTTTAATATAGCTTACACCGCTTGCGTTTGGAAAAAACGGGACAATTTTCCGTTCCAGAGTTCATTTCGGGGACACCGGGACTCGTAATTATTAAAAGGGTCAGTCCCGTTCAAAACGGGACGTCTGGTCACGTTATTCATACATAAAATGAATGAATACATACACAAAAATTCACTCAAGTCGATCCAGTCGTTTAGTCGCAGTATAGATAAATAATCTAGATACCGACAGCAGCGCCATCTGCCGGGCTGATTTGTGAATCTAAAGCATCCAGGGCGCCACCCAAACGCATACAAAAAAACTCATTCAAAACGGTCCAGCCATTAAAGAGAAGTTTAGTGACATACGACACTACAGTACAGTTTTACTGGTGGTAGGATCTCCTGTGAGTCCGCGCGAGTAGGTACCACCACCCTGCCTATTTCTGCAGTGAAGCACTAATTTGTTCCGGTTTGAAGGGTGGGGCAGCCGTTGTAACTATACTTGAGACCTTAGAACTTATATCTCTAGGTGGGCAGCGCATTTACGTCATAGATATCTATGGGTCAGTAACCACTTGACACTAGGTGGGGTCCAGACATCAAAATAAAATAAAAAAAGTAGAACACGTACAGTAGAATTATATATATAAAGAGAAGATGATTACACACACGATCTCACACCTTAAATTATGTTTTAGTTGTGTACGATAGGTATTTGTAGTATAAACTTAAAATACCAGGTAGGTGCAAAATTTAAGCTTATCGTCCGAAAACTTTGATGCTCTGCATACAAAATTCTCGTTGACCTTGCAAGGTATGACTCGTATGACGCGAGTGTATAATTTATACATTTATACCTACTATAAATACCTTATATATTATACACACCTAGTACATTATTTTGACGACGGCAACAATTAAAGTTTTTGACAAAAAAATAATACCCACAATACATAAACGGCCGCCTGGTGTAGTGGTAAGTGACATGGTCACTACACTAGGGGGTCGCGGGTTCGAATCCCGCCAAGGGAAGATATTTGTATGATAAATATAGATGTATTTTCAAGGGTTATGGATGTATATTAAATATATGTATGTGTATAATAAAAATCTTACATTTATTTCCGTTATCTGGTACCTGTAACACAAGTTCTTTACGAACTTATCACGGGACCAGTTATCGTGGCGTGATTGTTAGTAAATATTTATTATTATTATTATTATTGAAATTAAAAAAAACGTGAATGATGTTTGTTCGTGGAAATTTTTCTTATAAATTAATTAAAGTTGTATTACGAATCACGAGTCCCTTCAATATGTTTTAGGGTTCGTATTGTCACTTGATGTATAAGTATATAGGCCATTTCCAACTCCCAATCGTAAACTACAGAACCAAATAATTAAATAAATACCCATAAAAGAATACCTACTAGAGATCTATTCGGTTCAAAAGATTAAATTATAAAAATACTAGCGACCCGCCCTCGCTTCGCTTCGAAAACTGTAATTTATTATTGATTTCTCCACTATTTAATGGATGTTATTATACATATAAACCTTCCTCTTTAATCACTCTATCTATTAAAAAAAACCGCATCAAAATCCGTTGCGTAGTTTCAAAGAATTAAGCATACATAGGGATAACGGGACAGAGAAAGCGACTTTGTTTTACACTATGTAGTGAGTACGTTGATAATTAAAAAAATCTACAAACTTAAAAAAATAAAATAAAAAGATATCTATATACAATTTACGTGTGTAGGTATATTGTCAACAGAATTCACATAATATAATGTTTGTTTTGTTTACGGCTCATGTCGTGTGAAGCGACCGACCAATGGCAGAATGCGGCCCTTGGCAGCGCTTCAGGGAAATTTACGTTCTGCCTTCATTCGTCGAGTCTGAGGCGAAGGGACCAATCTGCATGGGTTCGTTCGCACGTGGCGCTGGGGGGGCGGCGTGGCACGTGCTTGCTTGGCTCGTGGAGGGGCGCCCGAGGCGGGATCTGCGTGTACGCATTGCGTGTGCGCGGTGCGTACGCAACAGTACAACCACGACGAGGAAGCGTCACGACCGTACGCTTGGAATATGTCCGTAATAAATAAAAAAATAAAAAAAGACTCAAGTGAGGTGCGGTGTTGGGAAAATGCGCGGCGTTCTCGAAGATCCTTGGACTTTTTCTGATCTAACATCTGCCTTGGACGTTGTTAAGCACAAAAATGTGAGTTGTGTTTTAGATTATCAGAGTTGTGAGGGAAAATAATAATTACAAATGTGTTAAAGAAAATCTTTATAATAATACGTTTGATGTCACGATTTATGTAAGTAATGAAAATGCGCAATAAAAATTGTAGCTAAATTCTAATACGCAGTTTATGGTCGAAAATACGAGTTATGACGAACAACTAATATTCAAATAGATAACTTAATCTATTCGTGTTCTAATAAGTAAATTACGTAAGCTATAACATAATTAATTGAAACATTTAAAATGTCAAAAATTTGCCGGGTAATTCTTAGATTATTAAATACGTCTATATTTGGGGGAGAGTTTGAATTTTTTTTTTTTTTTTTTGATCCACCTTTAATAGTTATACCTTTAGTTGGGTTATGTGATAAATGTACCAAAAATTTTAAGGAAAAATCAAGTACAAATTTCCACAGTAACAACACAGACCAATAGGTTCTTTTTTTTTTAAAAAAATCAACATCCTTGTGGATATAAGTTAACTAATTTGTCGTTAGGTTATTTCGATAATTAATCTTTTGAAAATTTAACGTGAGAATCGAATGGGAAAAAATGACTTTGTAGAACAAGGTGTCAATGAACTCTCGTACCGTCCGCGTTTCGTGTGCATTGTAAGAGCTGTATTGTGACGGAAATTGATTTTTCGTGTCCATTTTTCAGTATAACTTTTGATGTAATTTGACAGAAATCAAAATACAGTAAATATTTTTTACTGGTGGTAGGACCTCTTGTGAGTCCGCGCGGGTGGGTACCACCGCCCTGCCTATTTCTGCCGTGAAGCAGTAATGCGTTTCGGTTTGAAGGGTGGGGCAGCCGTTGTAACTAAATACCAGGTAGGCTGTGAGGTCGTCCACAAATCTAAGCAATAAAAAAATTTTATTTTTTATTTTTTTCTCAAGTGGTTACTGGAGCCCATAGACATCTACGACATAAATGCGCCCCCCGCCTTGAGACATAAGTTCTAAGGTCTCAAGTATAGTTATAACGGCTGCCCCACCCTTCAAACCGAAACGCATTACTGCTTCACGGCAGAAATAGGCGGGGTGGTGGTACCTACACGTGCGGACTCACAAGAGGTCCTACTACCAGTAAGTCGATTTCGCGAGCTTCTCCTTAGTGATTTAGCAATAGAAGCTTAAGATCGCTGCATTAATTCTTAGATTCGTTTATTATGGTTATGGTATGGACATGTGATGCGTAGAGAGAAGATCCATGTGACTAGGAGATATATGGAAATGGTAGTGCAAGGTAGAGGGGGAAGAGGTCGACCGAAGAAGACATGGATGGAGTTTGAATCACGATATAAGAAACAGAGGAGTGAGTGTTGATATGACGGCTGATAGAAGAAAATGGAAAAGAAAAATTAGCTGTGCCGACCCGACCTAGTGGGATAAGGTGAAGAAAAAGAAGATTCGTTTATTTTAGCGTTCCCAGTGTAGTAGGTACGTCCGCTGTTCGAAATAAAACCACAATTGCTTCTAGATTCCGATAATTTTTTTCTGTTTTGTTTTCTTATTAAAGTTTTTTTTTGTGTACCTAAAAGTGGAAAAGAACAGCAATATACAAATTTTTTTTAAACATTATAACAATGACCTGACGTGCACCGCGCGATCGTTTGCTCATAGACGGTAAAAAAAAATCGCCGTATTCACCGAAGGTCATTGACCCGCTTTCATATAACAAATACTTCTTTTTTTTTTATGGGTGAATGAGATCACGGCCCCCTGATGTTAACTGGTTACCGGAGCCCATAGACATCTACAACGCAAATGCCGCTACCCACATTGAGATATGAGTTTTAAGGTTTCAGTATAGTTACAACGGCTGCCCCATCCTCTCAAAACGAAAAAGCATTACTGCTTCACGGCAGAAATAGGCAACTACCCTTGCGGACTCACACGACCACCAGTAAAGCGTATTAAATTAAATTTGCGACCATTCCAATATCATTTGTTGATATTTTCTTAGTTTTTACGTCCGTAGTCACAAATTTTCGATACTCTAGGCGCGTGTCTGAAGTCCTTCAATACACTCTTGAAGCGAGTTATGATTACACAGTCTTAATATAATCTTTCTTTTATACATTCAACACCCGCATCGCTCCGATATCCACTTGTCGATGTTCATGTGGAATTTTACTTGGTAATTTCATTGTTTACCCTAAAACATGTTTCGTATTGTATTATTCACACTTTATTACTTCGTTCTTTTTGTCTGTTTTAGGTACTGGATATTATTATTATTATATTTTATTCTTATTTCTACACACAGTTAATGTAATCGCAGTAATTGCGATAAGATATAAAAAATGGCGAGCTTAACTCAACAATTGAGCTATCTACCAGCTAACCGTTCTTGAAGAAGGAAAGCTTTACATGAGCGGGTAGATGAGTACAAGCTAATTAATTTACTTATCGATACAATACACAATAATAAAAATAAACACTAATACATAATATATCAGACTATATACATACACAATTACATCAAAGTGATATCGTCAAAGTGAAAGCCTATTTATTTTCTTTAAGCGACATTTTTGCAACTCTACAAGAGACACATTTAAAAATTTAAAATTTGGTTAAAATATAATAACAAAAAAACTTTAGGTATTTTGAATCGTGAGAGTGAAACTTAATTAGAAGTTCAATTAAAACATCGAACATGTTGAATCTATATTCTATACTAATTAATTATTATTACTATATATATACTAATATTATAAAGAGGAAAGATTTGTTTGTTTGTTTCGAATAGGCTCCGAAACTACTGGACCGATTTGAAAAATTCTTTTTCCATTAGAAGCCGACATTGTCCCTGATGAACATAGGCAATTTTTTTTATTTTTTTTATTTTTATTTTTTTGGCATTAATTTATTTTTGGTTCCTGTGTGTTTTAAATTTTCAAAGCGAAGCGAGGCGGTGTCCCGCTTAGTTAACATTATAAAAGAAAGGATTTGTTTGTTTTTGTATTCGAAATAGGCCTCCCGAAACTACTGAAACCCGATTTGAAAAGTTCTTATCACTGTTTGGAACTACACTATTCCCGAGTGACATAGGCTATAATCTTTTTTGAAAAAAATTAGGGATCCTTACTAAAACTCCAATAATGTAACCCAAGGTGTAAAAAAATTACCTAAAATATTCTTTACATCGCGTGCCCTGCGAAAACTATTCATGATAGAATAAAATAATGTACTACGACTTTGTAGAACACATTATTATTTACAAAAAGTGTCGCGACAGCATATGTCTAACTATTATAGTTATGCCGCAATAAGTGTTCTTTTATTTAAAAAAATAAAATAACGTCATATATCGTTGAAATTTTTGTTAAAGACCCGACGGACGGAGCGGGCCTTGTGGATAATAAGTTCACTGGATACGCAAAAGATAATCGTCCCGCAATATTAACCCGAAATGGTCCGCGTAAATCATTAGCCGCCGTTGCTTTATTATCAATAGATTGTTGAGATCCGCGCGTGTAGGCTACCCATCACACGTGCCTGCCTATTTCTGCCGTGAAGCAGTAATGCGTTTCGGTTTGAAGGGTGGGGCAGCCGTTATAACTATACTTGAGACCTTAGAACTTATGTCTCAAGGCGGGGGGCGCATTTATGTCGTAGATGTCTATGGGCTCCAGTAACCACTTAACAACATGTAGACTGTGAGCTCGTCCATCCATTTAAGCAATAAAAAAAAAGCCTTTTGCCCTTCGCTATGATTTTTTTTATTACTATACGTCCTTACAAGATGAAGCCCGGCTCGTTGTCGTGATGACGGAGTCTCCTCCATACTTGCCTTTCGGTAGTTTTCTGGCGACAGCGTGTATTATGAAGGTATATAATGCCTCCGAAAATTGCCTTAAAGCGGGTAGGCTAGATTTTCTAAGCAGATAAAAATATTTAAAAAATTCCACCGCCGTTCTCAATGTGACACAAGTTCGTGAACCGTCATTTATATATTACAGTGCTTTTTTTCTAGAGCGGCCACTTCAGTATTGTAATTATAATAGAGTTAAGGATTATTTTATATTTGGAAAAGCTATTTTGTTTGTTTCAACGAAGATTTGTTGGTTTTACTGTGGCGAAATCAATGTTTGAATTTACACCTAGACTCCTGAGACCCCGGGCATAGGGTAACGTGGTTTGAAGGGCGCCAAATTTTTTGAAATGCCATAGTTTCAGAGACAAAGAAAAGAAAGTCCGTTGAAATCGCTGAAGAAGCGTTTTTGTTAAAAAATTTCCAAATTTTAAACTTTAAATGGGGCTCTCCTGTAAATACTTTCAAAAAATTTTTCAATTCAAGCCAAAACGCTTTTCACTCCTCCAGACATGATGTATATTAAAACCATATACATTATATTTTACAAAGTGAGTCGTAACGTCCCGTGGTTTCGATAACACGTGTTAACGACACCGGGCCGTGAACTCATGGTCCACCTTCCAAGTAAATTAAATGGCTTAGTTTATCGGCAATCGCTGATTTTTTATTGACCATGCGCCGATAATCAGGTTTTATTCAATACCAGGGGCAGGAGAGGGGGGCTATTTGAATGAAATCGATTATCTTTAACTTGACACTGACAATACTATATCCCCGGGACACGTTTCACTTTAAAGGTCCCCCTTAAAAAAGTAAGACAGCAATGAAAAAGAGCTCACGGGATTCAACCCGTCAAAGGTTTTCCATAACATCTGCCCTAAGCAAGCTACAGTGCTTGCTGATACTAAGCCCCAAATTGGAGAATCGCGGAGACCCCCCACATTAAAAATCCGAACGAGTAACTTATGAGGTGCGAAAAAGATATATAATCAAAAACTGGGTCCTTATATAAATGTCGCATCATTTATCGACCAAGCGTGGCTGTGAGCTCAGTGCGCCTTTGGTATAACAAGAAATTCAGCAAGAAAATTGAAAATGCAAATAAAACAAATTAGTTTTTCATGTACCACCTACCCACTAATTTTTAT